CCCGCGCAATGGATGAATGGGCTGGCGACAATGCCGAAATCCAGAACTGTGCTCCAAAATTCCTTAACTGGAGCCTGCGGATTCTCACTTATGCCTTGGGGCCAGAAGTATCGGAGGAACGTTCTGTGATCCGGATGGATCCGGTATTGAAGAAACGCCTTCTCGATATCGCACACGATAGCGATTTCGTCTCGCCGAAATCGGAGGAGGACCTGAATTACGTCTGGCAGCAAATTAGCGCCGCAATGGAGGACGTCGTTAAATGCCGCTTCATTTTTCCGTCTAGCCCCGGCGTCCTTTACTACCCGCACCTTGAATGCATCCCGAGCTGGACTCTGCTTGACGACTGGCAATATCGGCAAGTAATGTACCAGTTCGCCCGGTTTTTTCGGTGTTGCCGGTTCCGCGTATCCCCGCTCGAGATAACTTCTCATCTCTCGATCGACTGCCGCTATGAGTTCCTGCTGTTCCGATTTTCACGAGGAACCGCTTGAGACTACCGCGAGCTACGTTCTCATTGTCGCCGAGGAACCGAATGTTCTCCTTAAATGGGAGACTGACCATATAGCGACCGTTCTCCAACCTCCGAATGCCATTCTCGAAAAAATTCTGTAGATCTGCTTCTGCTGTGCTAGTCGATTCTACCGTAGGATCTTCAATCCCGAGGAGTTCTGCTGACCATAATTTCTCGAGATCCGCATTCAGTTGTTGGTTCGGGTCTGCTTCGGAGCTGAACTCCACCCCGCTGGACGGGTGCGAACTCTCCGCTCCGCTTGTCGGTTGAGCGAACATGCTCACGACTCTAGAATCCGACAATCTCGAGCCCGGTTGATAGAGATTCGCTGTCACGAAGACCTGCGAACGTCGAAGCTTGGTCGACGAACTGTCTCTTCCCGCGACTACCCAACCGAAGATCGTTTCACTCGCGATCATCCGGTCGTCGAGGATCCGTTCCTCTCCGCATTTAATTTTCGCAAGAACATCCACACCTATTAGAACATCGATTTCTCGCCTACTGATGTTCTTGGCGGCGTCTGCCATCGGCTGGGGGCCCCAGGTCTGGTCCGACACCGGGAAAGCCCCTTCAGCGATCTCTGGGATGCCGATCGCGCGCAACCTGATCGTTGCTCGGTCATCGAATCGGCTCTGTAACCCTATCTCGAATACGTCGTATTTCTTATAGGTAGAAACGTTTCCGCCAATCGTGATCATCGCCAAGCTCTCCTGCTGAACCGGTTTCAGGCGGAGTGACTGGATCACGTGGTCGGAGATGTACGAACGCTCCGAGCCGGTATCTATGAAGAATCTGAAAATCTTTCTGCCGCTGGACGAGTTCACCCATGCCAGACCCGTCTGGAAGAATGTGGATGCTCGCTCTCCAGGCTCACTAGAATTCTGAACCGCGAAAGCCTCCGTATTTCGACCCGCGCAATGGCTCGACCTCTGCTCGCTCGCGTTCCGGGTCGTGAAGGATTCCGTGCTCTGGTTCGCGTTCCGACTCGACTTCTGCTGACCACACATTATCGCGTAGTGGGCTCTGCTGCACCTTTCGCACTTTACATAAGTTCTACATTTCTTGGCGTAGTGATTCCGGTTGAGACACTTGAAGCAAGCGTTGCCCCGCTCGCAGAGAGTCTTTCGTTCCTCATAAGTCAGATTTTTTCTACACGCTTTCGATTCGTGCTTCTGGCTGCTGCAAAAGACACAGCTGTGATCTACTGCGACACTCCTCTGACTGCCTGCGAAGAAAGCTCCGCTCGCCCCAGGCGCTCCACCATTGAATCTGCCGTTCCCTGTTCTAGCCTGGCTTCTATCGCTGAAATCCCTACGCG